GAGAACATCATTTAATATATTTTAAATATTTAAATGTTAATTTTAGTAATATTTTAATATTTAATAGGAATTTTATTGTGATTAGACTGACAAGATTTAAACAAATATATATTTATCACAATATGACGCAACTTTATCATCTCAAAAGTATAAAAATAAATTGAACAGTTTATAAATTTGGCCTTGCAATGTAAGAGCCTGTGATACATAAAATTTTTTAAAGTGTCACTTATACCAGAAATGTGGAGAAGCTACAGATGACACAAGTGAAGTTCTGAAGCCTTCTGTTTCTTCACTTGTGTAAATCACTTGACATTTATACAGCCCTAAACCACATCGAAAAAATATAAATGTAAATATTTGCACGTTAAGATTTATGACTTAATAGTTTAAACTGTTATATTAAATATTCATCAAGGTATAAGAAGAGACAGCCAGTGCTTAGTATTTATTTACTCGAGTCGTTGTTTTGAAAGTACGTAAAGTTTTGATGTCACCGAAATAGAAAAATCTTCGTATATGTAAACTCCAGTTTCGTCCAAAAAAAATAATTTTTCTGTAAAAATATTGAGACAATTACGTCACTCGTACTACATATAATTCTCTAGGTAATAAGCCTCGAATGCTCTTATGTGGACAAGCCTCGTATTTACTTACGATACATAAAGTAAAATAACTTGTCTGAAATATAATTGGTGAAATATTAGCGTGATATATTTCAGCCGATCATTTTAATAAATTCTAACGTAAACCGGATTTCTTGTCAAATACAAATATTACGCTGGACATTGTCCACTGTATGAGGTACAATTGATACAAACGACGTTTCGGGACTTGGTTATACTCCTGCCTGATTGCAATTATATTAGCATTATTATTATTATATTAGTTGTTATATTTTGTTTTTAAAATTAGTGTCAACTATACGACAGCTGGGATTTTTTTAATACAATAGCATGCTAAACAGTAGACCACGGAGGTCCCAGGTTTCGTCCGAAACGTCGCCACTTGTACTGAAATATTGGACAGGTTTCCCAGTTTAAGCAAAAATACGATTTCCCAAGGGTCCTTCTAGTAGAGTCAGAAGCCCCTTTCTGTAAAATTAACATTTATTTATTCCTAGCCGGTCTCTTCTTATGCCATTTATTTATAATAAATTGCCTTCCTTATAATTCAGAATAACCAGTTCTGGAACTAATTTTCTGGCACTATTTAACACGCAGTAGTTTCCCATAAATCTCTTCTTTCGCTAGCAGCCTAGATGGAACCCTTATTTCGGATACGCCAAACTTCTAACGCAGGTCAGTTCACCCGGAAATTCGCAAAGCATGATTATCATCGTCACACAAATAGCACGTAAATGTTATCTCACTTACACTGTGTTTATTATAACACATATGCATGGAAAGTATAAGAACATATATTTGTTTCTTCCTTTCTGCCATCTGCTTCTATGTCTGTCTAATGGCCTATTTCCTTCGGGGGTTTCCGACTGAATGTTTGTACGCACTTCTCTACTCATGCGTGCTGCATTGCCTTAACACTAAGGGGCAGAAGCTCGGGGCAAATTTGAGGTCGCCTAACTGAGCTTTTCATGTGGGTAGTCAATAGCAACACAGAGACACACACTTCTTTCGAGGTTAAAAGAAGTTAAAATGAATTAATCATCCTGTATAGTCTAAGGCAGTGATGCGCAACCTGTGTGCCGCGGAGGCCATCTAGGTATACCACGAAATTTTCACCACATATTATACTTATAACCATAATGGGATAAATAATTGTTAATCTCGTTTTATGCTCTGTCTAAGTTTTAATTTTCTTTATTATGATCGGGCAGACTGAGGACAGACAAGATCTACCAAGTGGAATTGGCAAAAAAACTCAGCCACTTTGCAGCTAAAAATGCGTAACTCCACTTTACTTTAATCGCCACACCCTGTATTTTTCTTCAATCTGCATGAACAAATATTAATAACTATCTTTAAGTTTAAGACTTTACGCATAGTAAATCAATTTTTGGATCAAACGATAGGAAATATTATATTTTAATTTATTTCAAATAACGAATATATTTAAATTAAATTACATAATAATAATAAAGATGGATAATTATAAACATGAAATAGAACGTTTTTCGGTTGGGGTCGATTTGAAAGAAGTTGTCGCGGCTAATCAATGCCATAAAAAATTAACCTCCCCTCCACGACATGCAAAATGGGGTTATGTGTCGCCATGACACTTCGACAATATTTAGTGTGCCGCGAGTGTAGAAAGGTTACGTTAGCTTAGCTGGATCAGGGTTTGGTTTTGTTAGGTTGTGTTAGTTATGTTGGGATTAGGTTAGGCCATTTCTTCTCAGTTCATGCTAATTATTATTATTTATTATTGACTGCAAATGGGTTTATACCCGGTGGCAGTGACCTACAATAAGATACAAAACAATTAGATACAACAGGGAATTGCTTCCTGCCTCCATCGTCACGGCGTAATATCCCATAAGACTGTAATCTTCGTTGCCAATTTACAAACCTCCAATTCTAATCACATGTTCATTAATGTGGGGTGGGGTTATTATTTGTACCGACTAATGAAGAATTTTTCTGGGGGCTTTGAAACTCGCACTGTGTCCTATTTATCTCATGCTCTTTACAAATCTCGATTATTTCACGTAGGAATGCTAACCCTCCACGCACACACATACAGACTGTCCTCATTTGCGCACGGGCGTGTTCTGGCGTGTGTCAATATAGCCCCTGCAATGTCACGAACACACATCCTCCTGTGTACAGGCACGCACATGATTTGCTTGCCTGCAGCGCACATCAACTGTACTTTACCTTCCTTTCTTTCTTTCTCCTTTCCTTTCTTTCTTTCTTTCTTCCTTTTCTTAACGTATTTGGATCAACAGCCTATTACTTCTCCGTGCGAGATCTCCATCTTTACCTTGGTCGAACCAATACGTTTCTTCCGCGCCCTTTAAACTCGTAATTTTCCTTCCCCTCACCACCCCTTACGGCGCACGACATTTCTCCCTGTGCTTTTAAATCGTTTACTTTAAATTTTAAACATTTTTTACGTGTTCTAACATCATTCATTAGACGTTAGATTCGTCTCTCATGCTATGTCGTCAGCTGACATAAATCGACTCACCGCTCTTAGAAATTAAATTCGTAAAACAGAGACATCAGATGCCAAGGTTTTAAGGTGCTATGCCCGATTATTATTTTGGGGGAATGTTTCCGGGGACCCGACTAATGTTACGAGCATGAAATTAACGAAACTTCGTAAAACCTTTGTAGGATTTTAATTTCTCAGGGCGGTGAGCCCAAAGATGGTTGTCTTCTGGGGGATGTAGAAGTTTACCGACGTTTCGGAGGTCCTTGCTGTAGCCATCATCAGGGCGATGATCATAGCCGGACTTCAAGGCGCTACAACCCAGAAGTATCATAGCCGGACTTCAAGGCGCTATAACCCAGAAGACAGCCATCTTATTTTCAAAGACAGAATGACCCCCAGAAACCCGAAATGTTCTGAACCAGGCCTGTACCGGGTCCAGGCCTTTAGCAGTGTCATTGTGACGTCATTTCAGACGGATGGCGGCGAGACGCAGGTGGCGAGACAACAGGAGGCTCGCAGGAGGGCCATCGCAAGGCGAAGAGCCCAGGGTCAGCAGACGAGGACCGCGAGGTACAGACTGCGCACGCCACCTCCTGTTGCGGGTCGCAGGCACGAGACTGTACAGACCGAGAAATATCTTGAGGAGGTGAGGCAGTGGCTGCCCCATCTGAGTGAGAAATGCGGTCGTCCGCGTAATTACGTAGCTGATCAAACGTGGACCACGGTCTGCGAGGTCTGACTGCGACTCCAGGATTTTTTTATGCAATTTAAAAGCTGTACTCTACTAAGAGCCACGGTGGTCTTGAACGCTGGCCTTGTAATCCTGGGGGTCTCGGGTTCGATTCCCGGCGGCGCCCGAATTTATAACTTGTGCTGGGCAAGGTCGTGGTCTAGGCAACACGGAGTTTTCCTCCGTGGCATCCCAACAATTACTCCATTCACACACAGAAGAAGGCAATGGCAAACCACTTCTGGATCATCTGCCAAGAACGTATATGAACAGGTCCCAGTCCGAGAAAAGGATGGAAGGATCCTGTTCATATGGACCTGTCCTCAGACAGAACACTATATAATAATACAGAAACATGTTCGTCGTACCTGTGATGGGCTTAAGATTTTATCGAATAAAATTCTGTACAAATTTATCGTCCTCCCCGCGTTCTACATGCTCTACCAATCTCATCCGCCTTGATTTTTACCGCTCCTGATAATATTTTGTGAATGCTACAAATTATGAAGCTCCTCATTACGCAGTTTTCTTCCACCTTATTCCTCTCAGGTCAAAATATTTTACTCAGACGCCCTTCCCGTAATACTAAGCGCGCCATATTTACCAATCCTCAAATCCTATCAAATGAATGTTTGAATCAATCAGCTTCGGAACATTTGCCTAGTTTCAATAAGATCTTGCTTTATTTAAAAAAATCAATTTTGTTCTGTTCACTGTGTTTATGGCGTTTTGAGTTTGCTGTCTCAGGACAGGGCTTTGGTTAATTCGGTGATGAACCTTCGGGTTCGGTAAGCCATCTGGTTGGTTAGTCACTGTGTTTATCTGTATTATCTGATCTCCTAACGAACTCAGAGTGATCTCCGTCCTGCAACTTTGTTACAGATACTGGACCGTCCTCCAGAAAGCGAAGCGTCCAGCCAGACGGATCTTTTCCTGGACAGACCGGAAACTCCAGGGTATCTTCCGGCCAAGGTTGGTCTGGACGTAGAGACCCAGATTTACCCAGGAGACGTAAGTTTTATTGGGACACCAGAAAGCGATATTACCAACATTAGCTTCCGTACCCATGTTGTACTCTAGGGTCGTGACGCTGTGTGGACTTGTACTCAGATACAAACGTTTCGGAGGAACATACTGCTACCATCTTCAGGGTCGAAGATAAAAACCACTTCAGAACTTATTTATACTAACCAAGACGATGAGTACTCGTCCCTCTTATGATGTAGGCAGCAAGGACCTCTGAAACGTCGGTAAGCTTCTGACAGACTACATGGCGCTACAACACTGCCCTGAGAACCTCTAATCCTACTTAGGATAAGTTTTGTTAGGTTAGGTTAGGTTAAGTGGCTTTAGAATGCTGGAAAGAAAAGTTGACGGTAAAGCATTTTAAGACTCCGAGCGGGAATACTTTTGTATGTTATATTAAATCCTTACGCTTTTTAATGGTTGTGGGTTTTTGTTATTGTACCAAAGAAATCAAGATGGGCGGGGCATATAGTTATGGCAGAGACGTGAAATACACACAGATTTTTTTTGTCGGAAATCCTAGAGGAAGAAAGAGACCACTCGGGGAAATTCAGACACTGATAGGTGGATAATATTAAAATGGAAATTTATGAAATAGTACTGGATTAACGTTGCTCAGGGTAACGACAAGTGGTGGGCTGTTGCAAATACGGTAATGAACCACTGCGTTCCATAAAATTCGGTAAATTTCTGGACTATTAGCTTTTGAACCATGACTCTACCGCGTGAAGTCAACCTGTGAATCCTCTCCTGCCACGTGCCGCCTTTCCAGAGCACGTCTTCATGTTTCAGCTGTTTGACTTCGACGCTGAAGTGCAGCCGGTACTCGAGGTGTTGGTAGGAAAGACGGTCGAGGAGGCGATGACAGAAGTGTTGGAGGAGGAGGAACTGATGGCTCTCAGGGCCCAACAGAGGAGATTCCAGGAGCTGCAGCGTCTCCAGGAAGAGGAGAGGACGACGAGAGAAGAGACGGTAAGACCCGCAAATGCGAAGTGTCCACTGAAGACAGAACAACGTAAGTTAACCAGCAATTTTCGTCTTCTGGGTTGTGCAGATGTGTAGAAATGCGAGCGGTTACCAACGCCGAAACTTCGTCTTCTCCTACCCTGAATATTGAGTCGGTACTTTCCTCCCAAACGTTAGTAACCACCTATAACTTTTCTACAGCTGTTTCACACATCACAGATAAAACATGGAATATAAGACCATCTTTTTGTGTATTTTCAGTGTTACTGCGACAATATAGACAACCGAAAGCTTATCATAGGCGTGATCATTCCATACGTATCATATGAACATCATTTGTGAACACAATATCTTCACTGGGACTCGAACTCAAGGCAGTTTTTGGGTTTGTAACCTTTGCTCCTGTAATAATCTCTACACCCCCCTCCCAAAATTATGTACTTGTTTCATTTCCTCTAGATGTCGTCCATTTGCAAGAGTCACGGCTTCGAAAGTAAAATGTTCATATGTCATCCCGACCGTCACGTGTCGTTGAATACCTGAACCTAAAATCTCGAAGGAAACTTCAACCCAGGACCTTTTTTTTTTTCGTGTTTCGCAGGATCGCCGAATGGAACAGGGTGAGGTGGTGATCACGCTACAACGGGAGACAGAACAGCGAGTGGCTGAGGCCGTTCTTACCGAGGGACACTTGGCAGACTTGCTGCCTCCTGTTCTGGAAGGACTCAAAGAGGCTGGTTACGTCATTGATGACGTCAAAATCGGTAAAGTCCTGACTGATGCCTTGTGTTATTACGTCGAGCGACAACAAACCTACCTCCACTGTCATTAATAGTTATTATCACTAAATACGGATTGAACGTATGGACTGGATTAAGCTGATGATAATTATGATGATAAACATCAATCACATTCATTAATCTGATTCAGTGGCGGAATCTTGAGCTTCTGAATTTACAGAATTTCATAAAGAAACGAACTGTCTTGACCAGCTAAGCGACTATCACCTTCTCAAGAATAACTTTGCTGCATGGAATTAGTTATTATTGATTATTTTTTTTCTAAGTTGTCTGTTATCACTCGGTTTCAGTTCAATCCAGTTCATATTATCGTATTCTTTTAAGATTCATTTTAATATTATTTCCCCATCTGCTTCTACATATCACAAGCAGTTTCTTCTATTCAATTTATCCAACTAAAGTACTGTATGTATTTCTTGTCTGTACCATGTGTGCTACACGCTCCACCCATCTCATCCTGTATAAATCACTGAACGAATCCAATCCCCTTACCCCCCCCCCCCCCCCCACCAAAAACGTGAATCGTGTTTAAAATGTATTTTTGTTTTAAAAGCAGACGGGATGACTCGGTTACTTAATTTCTTCCTGGACGCAATCTTCAACTTAAGTCATCATTTTAAGACGCGCACACACTGTATATATTTGTCGGATGTGTATATATATATATACTTAGGTATATAGTTTCTATGTACATCTTTAATATAGTCAATTTCATAAATGTTTTTACTATCCAGTGACGTAAGTCCTCGACATTTTGAAACATTGCGTAAATATGTTTCTGAAATTGCATAAGGCCTTAAGAGATTTATATTTAATCACGAAAACGATTCTCGACGACGATTAGGAAACAGAAAACCACGTTTTACTATTTATGGTAAAGAAAGTATCAGTTTTGAAAACAAATTTCATAGTAAAAATGTTTCTAAGATCTACAGCTTGTAATTGTTCGTCCAAATCTATTTTTCATAACTAAGTCTACGTCGGTGCCATTTTAGCCGGAAACAAAGGTTTGTACACGCAGATACAAAAGCTGTTCTGTTCTTCTCATCAATATGTCTGCGAAAGAAAAACTTAGAGGCAGAAGATACACGATTTATGTCATGACAAGGAAAGTATCTCTCAGCGAGAATAGAACTCAGGACACGTTTCCAGAGCTTTAAGCCTCATATGATCTCTCCCTGGTCTCAAGAAAAGATAAAACAAAATTTGGTCCAAATCGGTGAAACTTTTCTCGAGTCATAAGCTAACAAACACACGAACCCCGAATTTAAACTTCATATGAAAATTTGTATTGGCGAGATTCGACTTTAAATCGGTAAGGACATTTTGTCTTTATGAAATAAAAATTAGGCTGTTAAATGTGAAGAAGACTAATCGAATCTTAAATATTTACGTGCCTTCAATTCTTTCAGTGCTCTGCCCTCATGGACTGACTTATTCAATAACCCACTTACACGGAAAGAAACACTCCAAATCACATCAAGACATTAAAAGTCACGCAACTGACGTTTATTCGGGCATCCATGTGTCATATTGACGTGTGTTTTCGTTACGGGCATCAAATGTGTCATATTGACGTGTGTTTTCGTTCGGCTACACAAAAAAATATTTTCAGTTTCGTCGTCACCGGTTATTTTTCATTGTTCCTAATGCTAATACACAGGGTGATCTAAAATTCACGCAAGCCATTCCTGATATTCCGTCGTCGCCAGTTATTTTTCATTCTTCCTAATGCTAATATACAGGGTGGTCTAAAATTCACGCAAGCCATTCCTGATACTTTGTGCCTCAATAAAAGCCAGGGACATCCGTACTAACATATTCAACGATGACTCCAAATTGAGTTCCAATCTCGTTCTTGTCTTTTGTGAATTTGCGTTACAACTTCGTCGTTCTCTGTACACAAATTTAAAAGAGCTCTATTACCAGAGGGTACTTAAATCAGATCTCGCCGTTGCCTTTGTCACCAGCGCTGACCTCTCAATGAAGCTACGATAGGCTCATTTCCACGTGGACAAATTCATGCTGGGTCAATTATAGGCCTAACCGAGGTTTCCTCAAAATCTTTAAAATTCATGTTGATTCTTCTTCACTTATTTCCAACAAAAAGACCCCTTAAAATTCAACAAGGGGTGGTTTATTTCGTGTCTTTATCTCTTACACTTTATTTTTCTTTATGGATCTTTGTGTCCTTTACAAACATCCCCTGAAAGCTGACTAATGGTAGCAGCACTTTTGAATAGCACGGTTGAGGAAGATCGCGGTAAGAGATGAAAATACGAGATTAATTGTTCCTTCTTCAAATCCAACTTGTCTTTTCCACTATTAACAGAACAATGGTACAAAGAATCGACCACTGACCTTGTTTGTATTTTTCATAATAGGTGTCGAGGAAGAAGTCATGCCATGGCTGATTTCAGAAGTGAAACAAGAAATTAACCAGATGTTTACCAGCAGAGAAGTTCTTACAGGTTCGTGATTAAAATAAGATGTGACACACTTGTATGAAAGTCTTGTTAAAACAACGGAGCCCACGTGACTTAAAACAACAGTCAAGGCAAAATTTTACGCGACACATTTTTGTGGTCTGCTCAGTACAAAAGGGGCACGTCCTCCCCCTTATCTCAGGGGGGGGGGCCACTTTCAGGCGCTTTCAAAACTATAAGCTGTGGTTGAAAAATATATAAATACGCATCATCTCCGCCATGTCTGTCCGTCTGTCCGCGTGTAACAATTCCGGAACTGCTGGTGCGAATTTTAAACTGATATATTAAATTTGGATATTCTACAAAAAACAGTCGACGCATTCAAATTTCGTTTAAAAAACACAAACCCCAAGAACGGAATCCGTCCGCGCGCTACCCAGTGGGGGAATCCTCCGTGATTACGTCATCACCCCCGCCCACCGGCGCAATTGACAATGGCCAAGGCACCAGAAATGCTGCTCTGTGTATACATTTCCTAACATGTTGAGTGTTTATAAATGTATCGTCGGATCGGTGTCCAGAAGTCGGTCGGTCTGTTTAAGCAAAATGTTTACAAACTAAGTATTTTTTTTTCTTTTCCAGACATAGTTCGCGAAATTTTAGAGACGAAAGCTGAGATATATCGAGTTATGGCAGAGGAGGACGCGAAGGAACTCGGTCTGGACAGCGAAGAAGAGAAAACTCCTAAACGACTGGAAGAGAATCCTGGAACAGAAGTTGAAACTGATAAAGTAATTGACGAACGCGGACGAAGTAAGTAAACTTCCGATTCAACGGAGAATCGAAGAAATGCCACGGCCGATTACAGTTTGTACTTTGCTAAGTTATTTTGATTAGATGTGTCGTTCTTGCGTTCGTAACAATTCTGATTATACAGCCAGAGTTTTTACCCACGGTTTGTTCGAAGTATAGGCTTAGAAATGTCTAGCTTTCTTCAATTACAGCACACGGGCAATTTCGCATTTTGACTTTACCACAGACGAAATAACTGATTCTCTTGTTTGATGTCAGAATGGTTTTCATTACAAATGCTTCCTCCAGGTGTTAATCGGTTTGTTTCCATTAAATTTACACAATTAATCAATCAAACAGAAACACGAATTTTCCGTATGAATTAAACCACACGAGATAAATATGAGAATCTAAACATTATTTTTTATTACAACGTCGGAATTTTTTTTAAAAAAAGGAGAATTATCTTCTCTTGACACTCCACTCACGTTTGGACGTAACTGGTGTGGACGTCTGATACTATGTGGGCTGAGTTTTGAAGAAAGTGGACTTATATATTGTCACGCTGAAGTTAGTTTGAATCGGTTTAAGAAATCGCAGTGACTAAGCAACCCCAGTTGGAATGTCACTTTAAAACAGTTTAATAATGAAGAGATTTTCCATTTTACAGAGGTGAAGTAAGAGTCTTTTAGGGCAAAGTGGGGCAGATTTTGTTCACGTGATATTGTTCCAGTCGCAATAATTTATATTCACGTCTGCTTCTTAAATACTTATTCCACCTAACAAATCTTATCAGTCAGAGGAATGTTTTGAAAATTCACATAATACAAACATTTTACTTCCTGGTTTTAAAGTTGCTGTATTTCTGAGGTATCAGTGAAAGTTAAATGCGTAAAAATACAGAATCAACTCTGAAGGAATAATTACAGTATCCGAAAAGAAATCTGGTACGCAAAGAAAAATTATTATAAATTGTCAAAAGAGACAGGCGGAGACTGTGACACGTGCGAAAGATACAAGAGATGTTTATAAAATTTTGATTGTAAACTTGAATGCAAGGGAGCACTTGGAAAACCTAGACATAGATGAAGGGAAAATACAAAAATGGATCTTACGGAAATGGGACGGGAGGATGCAGACTGGATTCACAGTAACTATGGTGTACCACCATCGCTGGAAAACAAATTATTGGGTACGGCTTATCTATTCTGGCATTTAACTGCAGGAGCTTAATGTAACCACGACAATAAACGGACCGAACCACACAATAAGATTATTTTTCGATAATTTTAATATCGACTGTTCTAAGTAAGGCATTTTTTTTTCCATGAACGTCACTGACAATACCTTCATTCCCAGCATCTTTGTTAAATCTTTCCTGTTAGCTGCATTCAGGATCAAGATCTATCATGATCCCCTCCCTTTCATAACCGAGCACAAGTGGTATAATAATCCAACACTGGCAATAATGACCACAGCACCTGTTTGAGAACTATTCATCACACGTATCACTCATCTTGCAATTCGAAATCTGCCATTCAGCCTCTCTGACGTTCCATGCAGCGAAAGGGGACCCTCTAGATGCCCTATGCTCCCTACCAGAACAACAGCTGCAGCGCATTTGCGAAATCAACCACAGATAAAACAGCACGGCTCGTTGCAAAGTGTCCAGGAAGAATCATCCGTAGACCTACTTTATTTAACGACGATACATCAGTGACCAACGCTATACACAGCAATAATGACAAATCACTAACTGAAGATGGCTGTCTTCTGGGTTGTCTGGTAGAAGTTTACCAGCGTTTCAGATGTCCTTCCTGCCTCCATCATCAGGGCGATGATAGAGGCAGCAGGACCTCTGAAACGTTGGTGGATTTATACGAGACTACGCGAAGTAACAACCCAGAAGACCGCCATCTTCGGACTCACCGCCGTGGAAACCTCAAAACCACTTGTTTAATACAAGCAGCAAAATTGAAAATGTTACGACCCGAAACAAGATAAAATAGAAGATTATAAGAAGAACGAGTAAATTACAATGAAATTAAATATATTTAGCCTAAAAGAAAAGACGATATATAAATGACAAGAACGTGTAGAATGATAGGCAGTTAATGGCTTATACATTATCAACCAGAAGGAATAATAAGTTTTCTTACCAAGAACAAAATGGACAGAACAAGGTCGTTGATGCTGATGGAAACATTTGAGAAGTAAAATCTTTACAAATGCTTCTAGGGCAAATTATATATTTTATTTTTTATTTTTTTGCAAATATTATTGAAACCAGTCAGGGATGCAGATGGGATTACAATGTTGTTATGGAAATCTGAGAAATAATGTCACTTGACAAAGGAGCCCGAACTTAATTTGAGTTACGCCGAAATACGACGCCATCGCCACATGTCAGAAAGTTACAAAAGATTTGCACGGTTGTGGGACGCTGAGGGTGGAAAACCCCAATATATGAGCTTGGAATTAGTTTCAGATGGGAGCAAGGCGGCGAGAGCGTGAAGAAACGAAGACAGACCATGCATAATGTACAGCGGGCAGCAAAAGTTACGCTGTGCAATGAATGACGAATCATTTCACGTGCATGTAACAACGAATCCTCAAGGAATTCCCTGATTTTATCAACCCAAGAGTTCATTACCGTCTTCACAGGAACCCGCTGTTGGTCTCTATGCTTTGCCAGATAAAACCCGTCCATAACCTAGTATCTTGATCTAAAGATTGGCCACCATGACAGTTCGATTGACAACGAAGATTAGAAATGAATTTGGACTGGCATATTTTAAAACTTTATCCACTGTTTCGCTTGCAGAAATAGCGGGAAATCACAGAAACCTTCAGTTGCGATGGCCCACGACAGCCAAAGTATCTTAACCACGGAGATAATAACACGTTAACCCTTTCAAGCCGAAGGTCTACTAAATTTTATTTAAGAATTCAGTCCGTACCGCGAAGAAAACACCGCACTTCACCATTACAAGGATCAACTGGTTAACGCTGTTTAAGGAAATAATCGCTGTTTATAATGAGAATCATAGTTCGTCTGATTAATATTAAAGAATTCAGTCCGTACCGCGAAGAAAACACCGCACTTCACCATTACAAGGATCAACTGGTTAACGCTGTTTAAGGAAATAATCGCTGTTTACACTGAGAATCATAGTTCGTCTGATTAATATTAAAGATTTCAGTCCGTACCGCGAAGAAAACACAACGCCTCACCATTACAAAAATCGACTGGTTAACGCTGTTTAAGGAAATAATCGAGTTTACACTGAGAATCATACGAAACGCACAAATACAAAATTGATAATTATTTATTTTTAAAACAGGTGGTAAATATAGTCACCATCGGGCTTTAAAGTGTTAAATATTCCCTGAAAATTAATTGTCTTTTGGGACGTTGCGCCGTGTAGCCTGTTTGAACTTGACTGATGTTTCAGAGGTGCTTACTGCCTCCACGATCAGGGTGGACTATCAGACTGAATGGCGAAACGACCTATAAGTCAGTAATATTTATATCCGTCGCCGTAAAAACTTAAAAATAGCACCTTAAAAAGCCCAAATCTTTTGAAAAATATTAATGTAAAATGACTTACTTTGTGTTATAACACAAAACCAGAAAGCGAGCAAACTCTAGGACAACTTCGTATCTAATACCCCAGACGCCACGTACAATGACAAAACAATATCCCCGAAATATAAAAGGGTACCAAAGCGAAATTCTTATTTAATCAAATGCGTGTTTACTTACGCTTGGTTACATTTCAGAGAGGGCAGGCATTAGCATGTACTTTCAAGTTTAGGTTATAGGCGTGCATACAATTGAGTCCTCTCTCTTTACATTCGTGGACAATGGGCTGGATTAATCTGCAAACACAAGTGCAGGACAACATAAAATTTCTCTTGCCCCCCCCCCCTCCAAAAATATACCCTCCCCCCTTACCGTCACAAACCTCGGGGCAACTCCAAGTAACTTTTGCAAGGGAATATAATACAAGAAATGAGTTGGTGTGTGCGTGGTATGGCTCACGATGATTGGTTTTTGTTCGCGATTTTCATTCCGTCCAGAAGCCTATGAGAATCTGTCAGCTGTAGGACACCCGGTACTCAAACGGTGAACGCATAAGTGGCCTATGGCACACAACTGAAGGAAATTTATAAATAATAATAATACCGATTATTAGCTTAAGCGAAGTTAAGGTACGATGAATCCTCATGGCAACTGATACGAATGCCTGAAAGAGTTTGAGGATATCTTAATAAATGTTGTATTTGATTATGTAAATACATGAAGCTGGTCTACGTAATCTCAGAATAAACATTATTAACTGAACCAACGAGAATTTAACGCGTTCCTATGAAATTTCTCTGGGCAAACAGAGGTATGACCGGTTGAAATTTCGACCCGAGGACCAGCTATCCTGATAAGATTTCTCGTGGTATTCTTCAGTACCTCAAGGCAAAGATTACGACTTTGAACCATAATGTGAGCCAGATGAATCCAGTTCACACACTATTTCTTTAAAATCCACTTTATATTAGTTTTTCAACTATAACTAGGATTTATAAGTGTTTTCTTTGCTTCGCGTTTTTCAAGAAAAATTCTGTACGCATTTCTCATATTTTCCGCTCCTCATTAGTTTTCTGTTATTTCAAACACGTTATTGTTCGTATTTCGTAAGTTTATTTTTGTCTGATTCT